AATGTCAGTGTGACCATAACTTTATAAAATTGTGCTACATTTAGAATTCAGTTCAGATTCATGTGTGTTGGTAAACCATTATTTTATTTCAGGACATAAAAGAAGGTAAATTAAACTTTATTAAACACCACACAAGACTGTATGTATGGCATATTGATGCATACATGCATGCTTTGAACATTAGCCATAGACCTTGTACTTCTTTTATTTATTTATTTATTTATTTTTTACATTTCTCTAACTTTTTTTCTCCTATATGTCTTTTATTGCATCTCAAATTTCTAAATCCGGTTCCTCCATCAATTGCAGCAATGCAGTTTTGTGCAGCACATTGAGGATCGGTCATTCGATCCAGAGCTTCTTGTCGTCCTCCGTCAGCGCCATTCCTGCCGAGTTCGCCGGTAAAAATAGACCTTCATTATTGAATCAGCAGTCTCCTTTCAGTCAGGCCACACACAGCAACTCAAACGTCTCATACATATTCCAATACAATCCTTTGCAAAGTGCCTGAAAATCCCGATACCGGTGTCTTTCACTTCTTCTCACCATCCGTCACTCCGTCAGCGGCCGCGAGAATCCGTCTTTTGGCCTGTACTGGTTGGCTTTGACACCTCTCAGCTTATGGCTGGGCGGCTGAGCAACACAGTTATTCCAGCAGGGATATTGATAGCCCCTTTGCACCGGCACCCTGATCCTATGGATTACAGCGCTGCATATTTGGGAATTTGAGGGTGTTAAGTGTCTAGACCTGTCTTCAGCTTGGCCTATAATTGATTATGTGCTGATAATGAATGATATTAGCATAATTTATAATTCAACCACTTTATTAGACCAGTGAAATCATTGAGTTCAGATGCTTCCATCTAGACGTTGATGGATTAACAAATAATTGGTCTGGTGAATGAAAACAAAGCTTTGACTTTCAGTCGGTAGTGCAGATGTTTTTATTGATTGCTAATGCATCGTATTTTGGGTCTGATCAATCACATGAGGTCTCGTCTGCATTAACGAAAGTCAGATATTTCAGTTTGTGCCGCAACGGAGATCATGCGGTGAGCTGCAGTGCAGTGTTGTTTAACTGTTTGCACATTGAAATTACAGCATTGCTCCGTTTAGATCTAGTTTCGTGTTATTTATAGCACACTATCTCCATTGTAATCCGAGTAAGGAAGGATACCTGGACATCTTGCGCTTTTATCCTTGTTGTCATAAACCACCATAAGCAAGCAAGACCTCAGATAAGCTGACCATGCACATACTTGCGAACGCTTCAAAGATATTTTCAAGGGATTTTCAACAATGCAGAGAGCACACAAAAGCTTATATAGGTCACGTCTCTGTTTTAATCAGTTTCATACCCTTGATAAGGACAAAATATTGTAAATAAAAACAAAATTGTGCAATTTGATTGTAGAAATATGCACTAAAACATTCTGAATGCATGTAGGTTATTCAGAGACTTTTGTCATGCTTTTCATTTTTGCATTTATGAGGCATTATATCTGGTTAGTAATGAGCTTGTTATAGTGTCAGGTTAGTTTCACAGTATATGATCTGACAGTTAGTGTAGTGCTTGTTTCATTAGCTGGTGTGTAGTTAGAAGAGGAATTAAAGATAATGCAAAATGAATAAGCTACATGCATGCATATGTGCAGTCTTTTACAGCTTTTTAAACTATTTGCAAGTCAGTTGATTACATTGTTAATAACTCCTTAATTAAGCAGCTTTAGCGAACATGCATAAATATGTATTTTTGCATACGAGTAGATTTATATACAAGTGAGTCAACTCTATTGATATTGATGAAACTTCATATCTTCATCCAAAACATGTCAAATTGGCTATATGTAGTATTTTAAAGGTAGTGGCAATCCAATGAATTATCAACAAAGATGGAAAACAATTAGAAAAAAAATTGTTTTAAGCATAAAGCAGTATTAATAGTGATGCTTGACTTTACGAACACCACTAATGAGAAACATTAGATGGTAGTACTACAAAAAGAAGTTCATGCAATTCGATTTAAATTTGTATTTCTTTTATGCAAAGAAAAGCAATATACCTGTTGTTGTTGTATTTTTTTTTCCATCCGTCACTCCGTCAGCGGCCGCGAGAATCCGTCTTTTGGCCTGTACTGGTTGGCTTTGACACCTCTCAGCTTATGGCTGGGCGGCTGAGCAACACAGTTATTCCAGCAGGGATATTGATAGCCCCTTTGCACCGGCACCCTGATCCTATGGATTACAGCGCTGCATATTTGGGAATTTGAGGGTGTTAAGTGTCTAGACCTGTCTTCAGCTTGGCCTATAATTGATTATGTGCTGATAATGAATGATATTAGCATAATTTATAATTCAACCACTTTATTAGACCAGTGAAATCATTGAGTTCAGATGCTTCCATCTAGACGTTGATGGATTAACAAATAATTGGTCTGGTGAATGAAAACAAAGCTTTGACTTTCAGTCGGTAGTGCAGATGTTTTTATTGATTGCTAATGCATCGTATTTTGGGTCTGATCAATCACATGAGGTCTCGTCTGCATTAACGAAAGTCAGATATTTCAGTTTGTGCCGTTGCGGAGATCATGCGGTGAGCTGCAGTGCAGTGTTGTTTAACTGTTTGCACATTGAAATTACAGCATTGCTCCGTTTAGATCTAGTTTCGTGTTATTTATAGCACACTATCTCCATTGTAATCCGAGTAAGGAAGGATACCTGGACATCTTGCGCTTTTATCCTTGTTGTCATAAACCACCATAAGCAAGCAAGACCTCAGATAAGCTGACCATGCACATACTTGCGAACGCTTCAAAGATATTTTCAAGGGATTTTCAACAATGCAGAGAGCACACAAAAGCTTATATAGGTCACGTCTCTGTTTTAATCAGTTTCATACCCTTGATAAGGACAAAATATTGTAAATAAAAACAAAATTGTGCAATTTGATTGTAGAAATATGCACTAAAACATTCTGAATGCATGTAGGTTATTCAGAGACTTTTGTCATGCTTTTCATTTTTGCATTTATGAGGCATTATATCTGGTTAGTAATGAGCTTGTTATAGTGTCAGGTTAGTTTCACAGTATGTGATCTGACAGTTAGTGTAGTGCTTGTTTCATTAGCTGGTGTGTAGTTAGAAGAGGAATTAAAGATAATGCAAAATGAATAAGCTACATGCATGCATATGTGCAGTCTTTTACAGCTTTTTAAACTATTTGCAAGTCAGTTGATTACATTGTTAATAACTCCTTAATTAAGCAGCTTTAGCGAACATGCATAAATATGTATTTTTGCATACGAGTAGATTTATATACAAGTGAGTCAACTCTATTGATATTGATGAAACTTCATATCTTCATCCAAAACATGTCAAATTGGCTATATGTAGTATTTTAAAGGTAGTGGCAATCCAATGAATTATCAACAAAGATGGAAAACAATTAGAAAAAAAATTGTTTTAAGCATAAAGCAGTATTAATAGTGATGCTTGACTTTACGAACACCACTAATGAGAAACATTAGATGGTAGTACTACAAAAAGAAGTTCATACAATTCGATTTAAATTTGTATTTCTTTTATGCAAAGAAAAGCAATATACCTGTTGTTGTATTTTTTTTAATTTAGCAGAGATATTAAAAACAGCAATATTAATAGTGATGCCTGACTTTGCAAACACTGCTAATATGAAAAATTAGACAGTAGTATTTTTAAAGTAAGTTCATGCAATTAGATCTAAATTAGTATTTCTTTAATGCAAAGTAAAGCAATGTACCAGGAGTTATTTATTTA